TGCCATAGCTGTAGTTAGTAGTGAGTGTGTGTGTGTGTTCGAGTGTTAGAGTGATGCGTGTGGGATATCCAGGGTGATCCAGTGTATGTGAACAGAGAGATGTTTGGGCGCTGAAGTCGCCATAGCCAATTGAGAGTGAACTCGTATCTGAAAGCCATATCTCCGAGTTTTGAGTGGGCGCATGTCGCCAGTATGCTGCGTTGCTGTTTACATGCATGAAAAGTGTGTTTGAGAACGAGTCTGATTGCAAGACTGCCTTTTTGTGTGATGCTCTTTGGTTTGAATAATGCACCAGCCACATTCTAGAGACTGATGAATAAACTGTTTACAGAATGGCTAGATGACTTAGTTGCAATCTATTTGGATGGCATCCTCGTGTTCAACAAGACATCGGAGGAGCACCAAGAACACCTAAAGAAAATATTTGAAAAGTTGAAAGAACAAAAATTGAGGAGAAACCCAAAGAAGTGTGAGTGAGTCCTGTATTTGGACCATATTATCATCAAATATGGATTACAGGTCGATCTTATAGAGATTGTTGCAATTAGAGATTGACCTCGTCCAAGTCTATGACAAAAGTTAGATCTTTCATACGACTAGCTACCTACTACAAGAAGTTTGTACCCAACTTCTTTAGAATAGCTAAACCAATGAGGAGACTACTGAAGAAGGATGTGACATGGGATTAGGATAGTGCTCCTGAAAAAGCATTTAGAATGCTGAAAAATAAATTGATTAACTATCCTACCCTGATGAGTGTTGACCCCACTAAAACCTTATTTGGCACTACAAACGCTACTAAGTATGAAATTGGCGTTGTGCTGCAACAACAACATGAAAATGGTAAGTTCAAACATGTAGAGTATCTCAATAGGAGAATGTCATCTGACAAGGTTGCAAATTCTACCTACGAGAGAGAGTTGTGTGCCCTTTATATTACCCTGAAAGAATGGAGATATACACAAATCATGAGACCCCGAAATGGATAAGAATCGGACTAATCTAAATAATGATAAGTTGAAGACGGGCTCATATGATAAATACGTAAGACTTTGAAAGAATAATGTGGTTGCTGATGCACTTTCTCAAAGAGAAGACTTCTTCGGAGCTATTGTGACTAGTCTGGACATAAATCCTGGTTTAGTCCCTGGGTATAAAATGATTGATGGCCTGTCATTCTTCTCATTGTAAGGTCATGAACGTATGTGTGTGCCTTTTTTTGGGTCCTTGACTACTATAGAATTAGGAGAATATCATGATTCAAAAGGGCATTTTGGATGAAAGAAGATGTTTGCTTGTTTGTTTTTGAAGTTTATCTGTGGGTGAGTATGAAACAGGATTGCATAGCATGTGTGAGGAGTTGTTATGTCTGTTAGAGAAACATCATAAGGATACAACAAACCTTGGGTTTGCTGAGACCTCTTTCTGTTTGTATTGACTTCATGGACACTACACTAAAGTCAAGAGTAGAAATGGGAATACACAGGTCCTAACAGGTTCAGTAAATATGTGAAGTTCATACCTTTGCCTGCAGAAGCTAGGATTCTGTTAGTCATCACTAACTTCTTCATGCATTGGGTGTAAGAGTATGGTCACCCCTGCACTACAGTTAGTGATAGAGATGTCAGGTTCACCAGAAAGCACTGGCAACACAGCAAAAACAGTGTGGCACTCAACTGACCATGTCTTCAGGAAGACGCCCTGGAACTGACGGGCAAACTGAACAGGTCCATAAGGTCTTGCAGCGGACCCTCCGGATGTATATTACACCAGCCCAGGTTGGTTGGGATAAGAAGCTCCCCAAGGTAAGTTATGTGTACAACAATTCAGTCCACACTGCTACAGGTAAGACAGTTGCACAAGGGTTGGCAACCCACAAGGCCTATAGACCTGCTAAATCCTTAGCAGATTCAGAGGGTGCCACCCGGGACCAAAGAATTTGCAGCAGTGTTCGAGGTCGACCTGCGAAGAGTTGCCCAAAAGATAGCTCATGAACAACAAAAAATGACTGAGTCTGCAAATCATTATCGCAGGTTGAATATCACAAAAACTCCTACCTGCATATCTCGGACCCTGGGAGATACTCGAGAGTTTGCGGTGCTGCTTATTGTATGAGGTTGATGTACCACCCCACCTGAAGACTCACCCTGTCTTTCATGCTCTCGAGTTGTTGCCCTCTACACACTCTGATAAATTCCCTTCTCAAAGATCAACAATACCGCCTGACATGGATGGATCTTATGATGTGGAACGCATCCAAGAAGAAACTGACTTGCAAGCAGGAAGAGGAAGACCGGCAAAAAAATATAGGGTCAAGTATTGGTACAATAACCCGCTTCATATGTCCTGTCGCCTGAGGGCACCCGCAGGCCGCGACCCCGGCCTAAGGCCGTGGAGGTACAGGGGGAGGAAAACCCCCAAGATTGGCTGCAGAGCCCCAGCGCCCGACAGTTGACTTCGGACAACTGCCCGTGGCCCACAAGTCAAAGTCTCCGTGGACCCAACCCAGGCCGCCGGTCAGACACACACACTTGTTTGTATGCAAGTATTCAGACAGCTTCCGGACCAAGTGGAGTCCGCAACTGTATGGGATTCGGGCCATCGGTTGTGAGTCCATCTGAGCCACCGTGGGTGGGGGACCTGAGGCCAATCAACCTCGTCAAACGCTTCATAAGGCCCAACCTCCAAGGAGTCAACATTCAGTCTTGCTATGTTGACTTGACGTTGGCTTGACGCTGGCTTGACGCTGGCTCGATGCTGGCGCTGTGGACGACGATGCGAGACTGCTGCTTGCTTGCTGACGCCTTCCTGTCTGGGCGCCAGCCTCTGCTGACGTGGTGCAAGCCACCCTGTCTTCGACATTGCTGATATGGCGCATGCCACTCTGTCTTCATTGCTGACATGGCATTTGCCACACTATCTTCATCGTTGAGTTGGACGTGACAAGGAGGGAGAGCGGGATGTGTGGATAGTTGAGAGAGAGGGAGGATACTTACCTGCTGTTGATGCCGATACTGTGCGCTGCTGAATGTCTTCACGGGAGAACTGTGCCACGTGGCACACTGACGTGATCAGGCCCTGTCAGGCTCATTATTGGACACTGTTTGCTGANGTGCGCTGCTGAATGTCTTCACGGGAGAACTGTGCCACGTGGCACACTGACGTGATCAGGCCCTGTCAGGCTCATTATTGGACACTGTTTGCTGATGTGGAGGCGAGGGGGAAGCTCGGACAAGGTGAGGGAATTGTTGGGCTACTTTTCCACCCTCTCATCTCTCTATTCCCCCTCTCCCCTCTTCGTCCTTGGTTACGAGACATTGTATCAGAGATCACATTCACGATTATTGGAGACATTGTTCAGCGTCGAGTTACCTTGTACTTCGACATTTGATAGGTATCTTCCAGACTAGGTTCATTACAATTTGGTATCAGAGCTTACCTTCTTCATTGCAATCTGCTGTCAGGCACCAGGTGGCGCCCAGGTAAGTGGGAAGTGCTGTAAGCGATTGGAAAGAAACGCGTGTATAAATGCGTGCGATTATTATCGTGGGCTAGACATTGACTGCCATGCACGCGCACGCTCCCTTGAAGATGATGACGTGGACACTCTGAAGAGAAGATGACAACATTGTTTACGTGGCGCTTTGTTCCTGACGAGGCGATCAGATACCGGCGAGGGCATCGTTGGCTGTGGGCTGACGTGGTGCTAGTGACCGAGAGAGAGAGTGGGATATCGGGACTGCCGACGTGGCATGCTGCCTGCGTGGCATGGCGCAAGGGTGCTGACATGGCATCCAGCGATTGACAGGGATTGTCTGACATCGCATGTACCTGTGTCACGACTTACCTGCTGACGTGGCGCTCCACACTCCAGCAATACTTCAATCTGACATGGCATACCAGTGGTGGATGATTTGGCAGTTGCCGCTTTGCTGACGTGACACCCTTCTTGACGGCCTATTGGCCGTTGAATGCTGACGTGGCAACTCCGCGGAGGTGCTGCGTTGGCATGCCAAAGTGACACGTGGCAGCGGACATGCCCTGCCGCTGGTGAGAGAGTGATACTTGCACTTGTGTGCTGACGGGCAGTACAGCATCACGATTTGCCTGTAGTGCCACGCATCGGCACTTGTGCGTGGCCGCATTGGTATCTGCAGATGTTCTTGTGTCTTGATCACACTGGCCGTGGTTGCGGTACTTGTACACTCTCATTAGGACGTCATCACAAATAGAACATGCAACAGAATTAGAAGTAGGAAATAATTGAAATCTGTTCCTTAGTTATTTTTGTTTATTTATTTCCTGTTGTAGGAAATTGGAGATTAATTGAGTGTGGTCGTGGAATTTATTATTGTCTTGTAATTATTTATTATGCGGCAGACACACATTGCGAAAATGTCTTTCATCTGGAAATGTTTGCGTGCCTCCATTCTTACTAGGTACATACCTCTTTTCTTCTACCCCATCACTCTCACTCAGTTTGCTGATGAGGAAGAGGGAGTGTTGCAGACACGTGCTCAAACCGACGAGCGACGGCAGCTAATGCTGACCCAACTTCGCACACTGCTCGAAAAAGCACAAAATGCTGGCCCTGAAGCTAGACAGTATGCGAGCAGCTTGTTCAATCTGCGTGCAACAAAAACCGAACTCCAGCAAGTTGACACTACCGCCAAGATGATGGAGGCCAGCAGAAGAGTACATGAAACTATCAATTAAGCAGTATGCAAAGATCACTGAATGCGGAGAGGCCAGAGGAGAGAAAAGGGAAGAAGTTGAACAACCTGAATTACCCGAAGAAGTAATGGAGGGAAATATCAAACAATTAGAAGATGCATTGAACGCAGAGAGGAGAAAGATGGAAGAGTATCGGAGGATGAAAATGGAAAAAGAACAGTAGGAAAGAAAAGTGGATGAAATCAGACAGCGGTTTCACTTTGAGGGAACAGGGACTGACCTTGCATCTGTTTTGAATGATATGATGGCTCACCTCCCCCATCTCGAAACGAAGATTGACAGTAACACTGCCGCAATTCAGACAATGACCAGACTTATAAAGGGGAAGAACAAGGTGGTGGATGAGGAGGAGGCCAACGGCGAAGAGAAGAAAGAACCCCAGGAGAAGCTAATGAAAGATGCAATGAAAAGAGTGACGCCGGAGAAACCCGAGAGTTCTAAGAAAGAACCTGAGAAACTGGCAGAAAAGAAAGAAGAACCAGCTACGAATGAACCAGCCAAGGCAGTAGAGAAACCGAAAAGGAAAGAAAAAGTGAAGATGCCTTTTACTTATAATGGATAGCGAGGCGAACACTTGCTTCTCTGGATAGCAAAAATTCAGACCTACTGTAGTACTGCATGGTCGAGCCAAAAAGCCAAGTGGCTTTCACTACTTCATGTTCGAGTGAGGTAGCAAAGGAATGGGTCCTGTCTTAAGCCAACGCTGCTGGCTTCGAAGATATCGGTGAGTGGGCCACAACATTGACCCGCAGGGAATTCCTCCAAAAGATTAAGGAGTGGTTCCTTGATAAGACAACGACCGATAAGGCCTTCGATGAGCTCACTATGATTGGCCAAAAGCGTTGGACGACTGTTGATGCTTTGTCTCATGAAGTTGATCGCTTGTTGCAGGTAACTGGTCTAAATCTGTAGGACAACCATACCCTATACATCTTCTCACGGGCATTGCCGGAACCCATTCGAGGACATCTCGTCGCGTAGGCGAAATCCGGTAAGTATAATTATAGACAGTTTTGCGACCTCGCGCTCCAAAGGGACCAAATGACAACACAAGTGAAAAGAACTTATGCATTTGTAGTAAAGAATGGTCCGGTTGGTGGGTATTGGAAGCGGGTCATGTGGTGGCAGAAGCGACAGGACCACATGCTCGTTGTCTTCGACGACGACACGATGAAGAAGTTGCCCCTTGACGAGGTCGAGGGTGGAGGTAGTGGCGGCAATGAGTCAGGAAAGGGTAACGTCACAATCGTGGTGGCCAACAAGGGTGGCACCAATTAGTGGAGTAAGAAGAAGAGGCCACACTCCTTTCCCAAGCATCCCGGTCTTGCAATTGATAGGCCTTGGGAAAAGTTGGGACTCACTCGAGAAGAGTGGCAAGACCGAATGAATAACAAACAATGCCTCAAGTGTGGCACTACTGGGCATATCATTGCATGGTGCCCGCTCATTCGAAACCCAAAAGGGAGCAGCTAGTAGGAGTAGGATATGCTCCTACTGAGTTGAGAGGTTCAGTTTGAGGTAAGGCGCCGATCACCCCTTTCAACCCCTCAACTCATACAGCAGAGGATGACTCTTTTTCGGCCCGTCATCCAGAACACCCTGACACTATCTTATCTTCTGTTCCTCTAGACGATTCCCTTGACGAACTAGGAAATGAACTCATAGCCTTAAGAAGTCTGTGGGCTAAGAAAGCAAAGTCTAAGGGTGAGTTAATGATCACGGACATTGAGGTTGCATGCACGCGTGTGGGTGCCTCGTTAGACCCACGATCGGCGCGGTCCTACATCTTTGAGAAGGCAATTTGTAAGTTGCATCGGGGTATAAAGGTAAATGACTTAACTAGACCTATCATGTCTATGTTGGCTGACAAGAGCACGATCACTGTCTCTCAATATGTTGATCATGTAAAGTGTTATTTTCGTACTAAGGAAGGCAAACGAATATTGCATAAAGTGTCTTTCTTAATCGAGAAGAACTTACCCTTTGATATGATTCTGGGAATGGATTGGCACGAGGAAGCCGACCCAGACATCAGTTCAAAGAGAAGATTGCAAAGCTAACGGACGAAAAGTCCGAATTGAAAGCTATTAAACTGTACCATAGTTGTGGATCTGACTCATCACTCTCTTTTTGTTGTATGAGTTACCGTACCTTCAGATCAATGGTTTCGAAAAAGAACTTGGATCAGGATGTGATGATGGTGCTTGTTACGTGAGTTGGTCAATGCTCCTCATCCTATCCTCCTCCTATTGAGAAATTACTTCACAAATATAAGGACTTGCAGACTGAGCCGAGGAGAATCACTGAGTGTGCTATTAAGCACACTATTCAGATTATTCCTGGTAGTAAGATTCCCACAGGTCCCATCTATCGTATGTCTCCTAGGGAACTTGAGGAGTTAAAGAAACAACTGCAAGAACTAACTGAGAAAGGATGAGTTCGCCCAAGTTCATCTCCTTATGGTGCTCCTGTCTTATTCGTGCCCAAAAAGAAAGGTGAACTCATACTTTGTATTGACTATCGTGGGCTGAACTTCGTCGCTGTTAAAAACGCGGAACCACTTCCACGCATTGACGACTTGTTGGATCAGTTGCAGGGGTGCAAGTACTTTAGTAAGATTGATCTCAAGTCAGGGTACCACCAGATCGAGGTAGCTTTTGAGGATCAACACACGACAACCTTCCGAACCAGGTATGGTCAATATGAGTTCGTGGTTATGCCTTTTAGACTGACTAATGCTCCTGCCACCTTCCAAAGGTCCATGAACGAACTCTTTCGTCAATAGCTGGATTAGTTCGTAGTTGTATATCTCGATGATATTCTCGTGTATAGTAAGACACTTGAGGATCATGAAAAACACCTACGAATGGTTCTTCAAAAGTTGAGCGAAGGCAACTTCAAACTGAATCCTAAGAAGTCTGAGTTTGCTAAAGCTTGTAGTGTTGTTCTTAGGGGATATAGTAAATGAAGAGGGACTAAGGCCAGAAGAGAAAACAATTACAGCAATTTGAGATTGGCCTAGACCCAAAACTGTAACTGAACTTAGATCTTTTCCAGGACTTGCTAGTTGCTACAAGAAGTTCGTAAGCAACTTCTCGTTGATAGTTGCGCCTATGAGAAAACTTATGAAGAAGGAAAAACCTTGGTTACGGGACAAAGGTTGTGAGTCCTCGTTTAAGAAATTGAAACATGTACTAACTCACTATCCTGTCTTAAAGATTGTTGATCCTTCTTTCCCTTCTATTGTTACCGCTGACGCAAGTCAGTATGCAATTGGTGTTGTACTGCAGCAAGATGACGGTAAGGGATATAGACCCATAGAGTTTATGTCCAAAAGACTTTCGTCTGAGAAAGTGGCTAACTCTACTTATGAAAGAGAATTGTACACCCTGGTCGTTGCACTGGACACCTGGACGCACTACTTGTTAGGGAGACACTTCATCGTCTACTCAGACCACTCTACCTTGAAGTGGATCAAAACCCAACCTCAACTCTCCGACAAGTTAGTTAGATGGTCCGCTTTCATTGACACATTTGACTTTGAACTAAAAACAATTAAAGGGAAATCTAATGTGGTTGCGGATGCTTTGTCCAAGCGGGTAAATTTCTTTGGAACAATTGTCTCCTACCTCGATATTGAGAATGATTTCAAAGAACAGATTCGTAAGGGTTATGTCGATGATCCGATATGGAGTCCTATCATTGGGACTCTACAAAAAAACCCAAAACTCTCCCTGAATATCGAATGACTGATGGCTTACTCTTCTTTGTGGATAAAGCCGAAGAAAGATTATGCATTCCCCATAAAGAACAAATCAAGAGTGTGATTATTGAAGAATGTCCTGGCGTTGAATGACACTTCGGTTTTAAGAAGACGTACGCAAATGTGAAAAAACGTTTTTAATGGAAAGGAATGACGGAGGATGTACTAACCTATGTGCGAACTTGTCTTGTCTGCCAGACGAATAAGCCCTCGCATGAGAATCCCCTTGAACTATTGAGACCACTACCTATCCCAAGTGAGCTAGATGAGTCTATCTGTATCGACTTCATGAGTCTCACAAAGAGCCAAAATGGTAATAGTCAGGTAATGGTTATTGTGGATCGATTATGAAAGTATGTTATGTTCATTCTTTGTCGGCCGAAGCTAAGACCGAACTGGTCATCCAAAAGTTTCAGATGCGATAGGTTTCAGAATATGGGTTCCCAAAAAACATCGTCTCTGATAGGGATGTACGGTTCACTGGTATACAATGGCAAAAGTTGATGGGAACCTATCTATGGCACTAGATTGACCATGTCGCCACATAGACACCCTAAAACGAATGGCCAAACTGAACAAATGAATCGTCTGTGTCAGCAACTTTTGCGCATGTATGTACGATCCGATCAAGTAGATTGGGATGAGCACTTACCTAAGATTGCTAGTGCATATAATAACAATATACATATTGTTACAGGAATAACACAAATGCACTACACAAGGGTTGGAAGCCTAGGCGTCCCCATTGATGCTCTAACCCGGGACCAGATCCAAAGGCTACCCCCACGAACTCGTGAATTTGCAGTTTTATATGAGGAAGATATAAAGAGAGTCGAGGAGAATATACAGAAAGCCCAGTTGCAGATGATTGAGCTGGCCAACAAGCATCGTCGACGATTGCAATTCCAAAAAGATGATCTTGTACGGGTGAAGTCTAAAGAGTTTTCCTTGGAAGAGAATGTGTCTCAGAAATTGCTACCTGTATATTACGGACCCTGGGAAGTTCTTAAGGTCATTGGGGATGCAGATGGACCCTCCTACAGAATTGACATACCCCCACACCTCAAGACCTATCCTGTCTTTCACGTGTCTAAACTCCTGCCATATGTAGAGGGACATGATTTTCCCAACAGACCATCTATGTTCCCTCCTTCCATGAATGGAGGCTATGAGGTGGAGAAGATATTGGAACACGGTTATTTCTCTATAGGTGGCAGAGGCAGACCGCAGAAGAAGTTTAAGGTACAGTTCAAGTCTCAACCTCCATCTGAAGCTAGATGGTTTAGCAAGAGGGAACTACTACCTACTGCTCATGACATTATTGCTGCATATGAGCGCGGTCTAAAAGAAAGATAATGTATTTCTGCGATGGAACTCGAAAATTGGGTCAGTAGGAATGCAATAACCCACTTCATATGCCCTATTGTCGCCTGAGGGCACCCGCAGGCCGCGACCCCGGCCTAAGACCGTGGAAGTATACGGCCAGGAAAACCCCAAAAATTGGCTTCAGGGCCCCAGCGCCTGACAACTGACTTCGGTCAACTGCCCGCAGCCCACAAGTCAAAGTTTCTGTGGACCCAGCCCAGGCCGCCAATCAGACACACACACTTGTTTGTATGCAGGTATCCAGACAACATCCGAAAAAAGTGGAAGTTTGCAACTGTACGGGATCCTGGCCATCGGCTGTGAGTCAATCTGAGTCACCGTGGGTGGGGGACCTGAGGCCAGTCAACCTCGTCAAACGCTACATAAGGCCCGCCCTCCAGGGAGGCTGGACGCTGGCTTGATGCTGGCTGTACGCTGGCGCTGTGGATGACGACGCGAGACTGCTGCTTGCTTGCCGGAGCCTTCCTGTCTTGGCGCAAGCCACGCTGTCTTCGACATTGCTGATGTGGCGCATGCCAGTAAGTCTACATTGCTGACGTGGCATTTGCCACACTGTCTTCATCGATGAGTTGGACAAGACAAGGAGGGAGATCAGGATCTGTGGATAGTTGAGAGAGAGGGAGGATACTTACCTGCTGTTACGTCGATACTGTGCGCTGCTGAACGTCTTCACAGGAGGACTGTGCCACGTGGCACACTGACGTGATCAGGCCCTGTCAGGCTCGTTATTGGACACTCTTTGCTGACCTGGAGGCGAGGGGGAAGCCCGGAGAAGGTGAGGGAACACTCTGTCTACATTGCTGACGTGGCATTTGCCACACTGTCTTCATCGCTGAGTTGGACACGACAAGGAGGGAGATTGGGATCTGTGGATAGTTGAGTGAGAGGTAGGATACTTACCTGCTGTTACGTCGATACTGTGCGCTGCTGAATGTCTTCACGGGAGAACTGTGCCACGTGGCACACTGACGTGATCAGGCCCTGTCAGGCTCATTATTGGACACTGTTTGCTGACGTGGAGGCGAAGGGGAAGCCCGGCCTACTTTTCCACCCTCTGATCTGTCTACTCCCCCTCTCCCCTCTTCGTCCTTGGTTACGAGACATTGTATCAGAGATCACATTCACGATTATTGGAGACATTGTTCAGCGTTGAGTTACCTTGTACTACGACATTTGACAAGTATTTTCCAGATTGGGTTCATTACAATTGGTTTCAAGACTGTCCTCAAGAGGACCGGAGATACAGTAGATCTGATCTGCAGAAAACAGCACCCAAAGTAGTTGCAGGTTATGAACAACAGCAGAAAGGAATCCACATATTTGACACGGATGAGTAGATGCAAGTACCAGTGAGCTGTTTCTGCAGATAACCTTGAAACCGGGCCGGGACGAGTGAAAGGATTTCACCTTCCTAAGTCTGCAGTGACTCGATCCCGGCACCTGTAGCTGTTGTTGTTGCCTTTTCTGCTACGTTGTATGCCTGTGTGATGCTGTTGGAGTTCGGACCCGAGAGCTGGTGTTGACTTACCTGTGCCCTTACCTGTTGCTATACCCTGTAAGCGTTGACTGTGCTTGTAGAGCCTTTAACCTGAGACCTGCTCTTATGTGTATGTGAAGTCAATTCTTAGTACCGTTCGTGCAGTAAGTGTGCCTCCAGCAAGTATCCAGAGGCTTCCAAGGGCAACGGGGGAAGTGCTCCCAGGAAAACAAACTCGTTTTTGGAGGGTTCATTCTGTGTGGTGCTGCTGCCTGAAACACTTCAGTGCGCTGTGCGGTGAAGAAGACAGCCATAGCTGGCGTGGTAGGGCAATCAAGTTGCCATCTGGTAGCTGTTGTTTTCTGTTCTTTTTGGAGTGGGATCGCGCTGTTGGGTCGGGCTTCTGTAGAAGAGAGCTTTTGCTTGGTGGTGAGTGACCCATCGAGTGGGAGCATCACTTCGCTGTTCAGGGAGAGATCGTGTGTGGCCGAGCGAAGGAGACATGCTTGTGGTAGTAGAGATTTGTAGCACATGAAGACTGTGTTGGACTCTGACCTGCATCTCACTTCGATGTTCAGGGAGACGAGTGAGGGTCTCCTTTTACAATTGAAAATTTTGAAAAAATGGCTCTCTACAGGAGATGGGATACCTTCCTTGATAAATTGCGAGCGTCCTGTGGTCTTTGCCGACCACCACCCCACGACCAGTGCACGACAGGCAACACTGATAATTCTTGGAGACTCTCTCCTCGATCTCATTGCTGCTAATGGTCTTATCTCATTAACTACTGGTTAATTGGGCTTCTCCAGAAAAGTGACATGGCTTCTTGAAGGGCATACAAACAACTTCTAAATATTGATTCAAATGAGTTAAAAGTTGAAAGTCAACCCGTCAGTTGTCACCCAGTCGAGTCGCAAGGGCACAGCTCCAACCTAAGCCAAAGCCCAGTGAACTCTGCCTACAATCTTCACTCTCTACCAAATGCACGGCCACCGTCTCCTCTCCACCAACCAGACTCTGCCTATCTCTTTTTACTCTGCTCCAATCAGATGCATCTCATTTCATCTCCGCCAAGCAGACCCTGCCTATCCATTTGGACTCTACTCCAATCAGATGGCTACCATTTCATCCCATCTCAGCCGAGCAGACTCTATCTTTTTTAGGCTCTGCTCTCATCAGAGCGCCAACATCTCATCTCAGCCAAGCACTTTCTGCCCATCTTTTCTCACTCTGCTCCGATTGGATGGGCTACCATCTCATCTCAGCATACTGTGACAAGCAAGTAGGTATGCGTGCGCATCCACTGTCCAGTACACAAATAACCACCAGCCTTGCCTCCCCTAGTTTGCAGATGCTCGTTGTTTGCTATGTTATGCGATCTGGACCTGCCCTTGCTGCTCTCACACAGAACACACTAGCATGAGATGACAGTTAAAAAATTCCATTGCCGCCACATCAGGCTCTTAAGCTTTTCCAGATGTGAATCCAGAGATCGTCTCCTCCGCTAGTTCAACATCATTTCTCTGACTCCTTCCCCGGAACCACACTCGTGCAACGGTGGGTGAGCCAGCCCACATATCATTCCTCCTGGTCGTTTCTTTGTTATTTCTCTGGCGACTTCTCGACAACCACGTAGCCACATCGATGGCTCGAAATCTTTCGATAAACCTCTGCTAGTAGGTGCATTACTCTTCCTTCGACTCCTCAAACTCACTGTTGCAACGGCGATTTATTAGCTGGCCATCACGGCGGCAGACGCCGAAAAACCAATCAAGCATGTCATCATTGAAATCCCCAATCAGTTCATGTCGACCTGGAAAACAAAATGTGTGACAACCAGCCAGCCACCCAGTTCGTCGCGTCAGAGATCCAGTTTTTTAGCAGACGAAAAGAAACCCTCAAAAACAACACACCAACAAATGGCAGTGAAGAGTACCCACAACATATAGTAAAACTGGAACAAAGATTAATTGATTAGCATGGCTCCAATGCAACAATGACATGCCCATAAATCGAGAAATGGTCCAAAATTTTCAAAAAGCGAATGCGAAAAGAAAAATGGAAAAGACAGGAGATGCCATCACACAGAGAAGCAGAGTAAACATGCACAATCAGACTCCTCTTCTTCTTTATTCTACCACCTTTAGCTTTTCTTCCTCTTCCTTCTTCAACCTCTCCATCTCCTCCTCCAACTGCTTCTTCTTTGCAGCCTGCTCCGCTTATAAGGCCAACTTCTTGGCCTGTTTCACTAACTCTCTCTTCTCCTTTTTGGCCTTCTACTCGGCCAGAACCTTTGCGGCCTCCTCCTCCTGCTCCTTTGTGTAAGGAGTGGTCCCAGTACCACCCCTCGCCTCCACTCTACACGTGAACGTGTTCCAGAAGCCTAACCGAAAAAGGAGACACCAGAGAGTTCCCCAGAGGGAGAACCCCACGAGCAAGTTGTACATTGGATAGTCATCCATGGTGGTAGGTGCACGACAAGAGTGTCCCACTCCTCACCACTTAGACCTACCCACTGACTGACAGTTGACTCTCTAAGGACTACAGAATCCCTTTGGGACCCTGCCAACTATGGTCTCTAGCCTAGACCTACTAAGGAGGCATTTACGGAGATCCCCCATAACTCCTCAGGAATTCTTTAACGTCGCAGACAGTACGACGTGATCAGCAAGTCCTCTCAAGACTTAGACAACTGGTTGTGCAGTCCATAGCTCGGATTTTGGGCCAACCATACCACACTGAGCAGCCCGCCGGTCTGTACCGGTCCTCGGAGGGTTAGTCCTCCGGGACATGTCATTCGTCAGACATGGACAACAACCCTCCTCAGCCCGGGTGGGTTTGGTCAACAAAGCTCTAAGACCTCATACACTCAATGCAGAAAGAAGAGATAGACAGACTCCCCAAGTACCATGGGCTAAGTGCACATCCATAGGGCGAGGGGATAGGCTGAAGGCTTGGCGAGAGTATACCAACTCCAGCTTGGTCAAATTCATGCTCAACAGCTCCGGTCAATGCTAGTCAACGCTAGTCAACTTCCCGATCAACACCTCAGTCAACGCCCAGGTCACCCCAGGTCAACACCTCAGCTAACCCCGGTCAACGCCTCGATCAACAACTTAGTCAACACCGGTCAACACCTCGGTCAACGCTCAACTCGGCTATGGCTGTCGACCCCGACTCTCCCACCAACCTTCGCTTCTCTCTCTCTCTCTCTCTCTCTCTCTCTCTCTCTCTCTCTCTCTCTCTCTCTCTCTCTTCGTCGCCGTTCTCTGTGCAGGTGAGCGGCGTCTTCCTACCGTGGCGCAGCTATGGCAGACACTTCTTCCTTAACGGGTTGGCTGCTGCTATGGCGCCCAATTGGCGCTTCTTCTCTTTGCGCTATGGCGCACTGCTGACGTGGCGCCAGACTAGCATCTATCTTCCTCCTCTCAATGATAGAGGGTGGAACAACGGGAACCTGCTTCGATACCAATGCAATCAGACTCCTCTTCTTCTTTATTCAACATGCATGCAAACAGATGGCAATCCATACTGGCGCCAGGCGCCCACACAAAGCTCAGAGATATCAAGGCCGAGAACACAGTTCAGATCCAAACTCACTGCAAATGGTTATGGCGCCTGAGCGCCCTCACGTCACCCTTCCGACACTGTATTCACAACAACTGTTCACACGCACACCACTCTGGATCTCCCTGGATGTTCCACGCATGCTCACTCTGTACCGCACACTCACGCACACACTCACTAGAGACTAACTCTAACCTATGGCGGCTATGGCCGCCTTTTACCTCCTGGCTACTAACGGCGATGGCCGCTATGTCTCCCTCACAGCTCACTTCGACTTCGGGCATCTGCAGACCACCTTGCACAAGACACTCAGGCAGCGCTTCCGCAGGGCTCACAGCAGAATGAATGAATGGCTGGACGCTGCCTCTTGATTTATACTTCTGTTGGTCGCTGGTCTGCTCCTTTCCACCGGGCCCATGGTGCACTCAATCCCACACAGTACTTGCTGACTAGACAAAGTGCGACTGGGATGAGATGCCCCCAAAGGTAGCCAATGCATACAACAACAGCGTGCATTTAGCAACTTGTCGCACTCCCAACGAGCTACATAAGTCCTTTAAACTACGTAGACCGTTTGAGGGACTGAACTGGGATGAGATTCAGAGGCTACCGCTCGTTACTTGGGAGTTTGCTCTACAGCACGAGAAAGAAATTACTACTGTAACAGAGAACCTCAGGAAGGCCCAACACAAGATGATAGAATAAGCCAATAAGCACCGTCGTCCATCACAGTTCCAAGTTGGCGACTTAGTCTGGGTCAAGTCAAAGGAGTTTTTCTGGGTCAGGTCAAAGGAGTTTGCGCCTGAGGAGAACATCTCGCAGAAGATATTGCCTGCGTATAGAGGACCGTGGCCAGTCCTAGAAGTCAAGGGTGGAGAGGATGGACCGTCCTAAACAATAGAGATTCCAGCACACCTCCACACCTACCCAATTTTTCATGCGTCAAAGTTGTTGCCTGATACTACAAGTCAACAGTTCCCATCACGGAGGTCCATGATCCCTCCAGATATGGATGGAAGGTACGACATTGATCGCATTCAGAACAGGAGGTGGAGGTCGTCCGCAGAAACAGTACAAAGTTCTGTTTTCCTTCCAAGAGCCAGAAGACGGCCGCTGGTTCACCCGAACAGAACTTCTAGAGACTGCTTCAGGTGTAGTTCGAGCCTATGAGAAAGATAAGAAAGGTAAAGGTCCTGCCTTGGACTGAAGTATTCTCGGAGGACCCCGAATTTAGGCAGGCGTGAGTGAAACGGTTTTCACCTTTTGCACTAGTAGATGCAGATCTCAGGGCTTGATCCCTAGACCCCGACCTCACCTGTGTACAGTATCCAGTTGACCCCTGTGTGTTCGAACCCGTGACCTGCGTCTTGGTAGTTGACTGTTGTCTATCACAGTTCCGTGTAGTTGTCAGGTTTCAATCCATAGGTCTGTCAAGTAGGGGTCGTAGCTGTTTAGAGGTCGTTGCTGTCATAATTCTGAAAGGTCAAGGTCGTAGCCGCTACAGCCCTGAAAGGTCAAAGTCGTAGCTGCTACAGTACCGAAAGGCCAAGTCCACAGACTTCCGAAAGGTTCGGAAGTGGCCTTTCGAGAGTTGCCCAGGATAGGATAGAGGCAAGTGGGCAAGTGGGCAGTCCAACTTTGTAGACTCAGCGGTACCCAGTCCTAGTCGCACTTTGTCTAGTCAGCAAGTACCATGTGGGACTGAGTGCACCATGGGCCCGGTGGAAACGAGCAGACCAGCGACCAACAGAAGTATAAATCCAGAGGTAGCGTCCAGCCATTCATTCATTCTGCTGTGAGCCGTGCGGAAGCGCTGCCCGAGCGTCTTGTGCAAGGTGGTCTGCAGATGCCCGAAGTCGAAGTGGGCTGCGAGGGAGACATAGTGGCCATCACCATTAGTAGCTAGGAGGTAAAAGGCGGCCATAGTCGGCATAGGTTAGAGCTAGTCTCCGGTGAGTGTGTGTGCGAGTGTGCGGTACAGAGTGAGCGTGCGTGGAACATCCAGGGAGATCCAGAGTGGTGTGCGTGTGAACAGTTGCTGTGAATAAAGTGTCGGAAGGGTGACGTAAGGGCGCTGGTGACGTGAGGGCGCTCAGGCGCCATAGCCATTTGCAGCGAGTTTGAATCTGAACTGTGTTCTCGGCCTTGATATCTCTGAGCTTGTGTGGGCGCCTGGCGCCAATGTGGATTGCCATCTGTTTGCATGCATGCTGAATAAAGAAGAAGAGGAGTCTGATTGCAAACAGAACTCGGTAACTTCTTTTTTTTTCTTTTTTGTTTTCCTTAGACAAGTCCAAGTTGCAATCAGACTCGCTTTCTTTTCCACTGTGCACTCATGCAAACAGATGGTGAATCACACTGGCGCACAGCGCCCACTCAAAGCTCAGAGATATGGAAGTCGAAAACACAGTTTAGATACAAGCTCGCTTCAACAGGCTATGGCGTATCTGCGCCTGTACAGCCCAACTCTCGCCATTCCGTCCAACACCACTGTTCGCACTCACTCATTCTCGATCACCCTGGATATCCCACACGCATACACACACTCTCGTACTCACACACTCGCCTATCAGCTATGGCGGCTATGGCCGCTGTCTCTCTATGGCTATGGCTAACTATCTCCTTCAGCCCACTTCGTCTTCGGGCACTCTGCAGACCACCTCACACAAGTCGCTCCAGCAGCGCTTCCGCATGGCTTATGCAGGAATGAATGAATAGCTGGATGCTGCCTCTTGATTTATACTTCTGTAACTAGTTGGTCTGCCTCTGTTCCACCGGGCCCTTGGTGCACACAGTCCCTCATGGTACTTGCTGACTGTACAAGGTGAGACTGGGACTGGTACTGTTGACTCAGCGAAGTTAGACTCACCACTTGCCCACTTGCCCACTTGCCTCTGGTCTACTGTGGACAACGTTTGAAAGGCCACTTCCGGACCTTCCAGAGGTTTGTGGACTTGGCCTTCCGACACTGTAGTAGCTACGACCTTGACCTTTCAGGACTGTAGCAGCTACGACCTTGACCCTTCAGAAATACTACAGCTACGACCTCTGCTACAAACTTGACCCCTACTCGACAGGACTACAATTCAAGACCCGACGACTACACTGGCCTACGACGGACAACAGCAACTCCTAAGACGCAGGTCATGTGTTCAAATACACAGGGATCGAGCCCTGGGATCTGCATCCGCTACTGCGGAGGTGAAAACTGTTTCCCTCCCGCCGGCCTAAGTTCGAGGTCCTCTG